ATATCAAATGTACTGCTACAAACCTCTTCAGCAGTTGGCCGGTCTGTTGGATCAAAGGCAAGCAATCTCTCCAAGAGGTGTAGAGCCGAGGGATCTGCATTTGGAAATTTTTGTTGAAATGGCACAGGCTGTTTTTTTCTCATGGTAGTTAGGTATCTCCTTGCCTTATCATTTCGGACCTGTTTGTTACATATCAAGAACAGAAATAATGAAGAAAATTAAGATGACAGTTCTAGTCTTACAAAACATGAATAAACCAACATTTACAAGAAAATTAATGTGTCTACCCGGGAGATGGTATCTAATGAAGGTGTCCCAAGGAGATCAGTCATCAAATCCAGCTGGTGAACAACATTTTTTCCCGGAAAAAGTGGCTTCCCAATTAATACTTCTGCAAAGATGCAGCCTATACTCCATATATCAATTGCAGGTGTATACTGTATCAATGTCAATTACACAAGAACTGCATTTAGGCATTTAAGAATGAGAACAAAAAACCATGCAGGGATAGTGTAAAAAGTTGCAAGGTGTCAAAAATTATTAACTAGATCTAATTACACTGCTAATATTGACGATGTCTAGCAGATACACAGTCTATATGTCTCAATCTCTAGGTAAAGTTTACCACCCTCTGACCTGCCATGCTAACACAGTTCTTATTTATGATTTTTCAAAAACATTCAATTTATCATTTTGGATGATTAGATCAAAACTTCTAAAGTCTCCTCTGATAAAAGGGGAAGAGGTTTACAGGCTTCTTTAGCTACATCTTCCAATCTGAATGTGTTTTCTTCGTAGGCAAGTCCTTGGTAATATGAAGACATGTATTCTACATCCCTTGAGTTTCGCTAGAGATTCAGACATTTCATATTGTCATGGAGACAAATCTATCATACCATGTCTCATATTTTCTAAACAGCACATGAAGCAGCACTAAACCCTGAAATCTTGACAGCAAACTGCTCAAAAGCATAACTAGTAAAATTCACAAAAAATTATTTATAGCGCATTAGTTCAAGTCACTATGTTCTTTGCTCTATTCAGATATTTGTACCAACCATATGTTTTTGTACATCCACTTAACCTATAAGCAACTTTTTTCAGCAAACCATACTAATATTTTCATTTCTTTATGACAGTTTTTATTTACATTGTTTGGGATTATGCTACCTATGCTTCCTTTCTATACATCTCTAGTATGGTCCTTGCACTTCTTGAATTTCTGAAACTTAACCTAAAATGTTAGAGCTAATTAATAAAACTAAGCTACAGGGCTAAAGATGTATATAGGAAACCACTATATGCACTATAAGATTTTTAGCAAACAGGATTCAGACAATTCAACATGAGCTCATATGTGAAATATGATTATAAATTTTTACTAATTTTCAAATTATTCCTGGAGCCATACCTTAGAGAAAAAGGATCCACATAGCTCTGGAGCTCTATACCATCTTGTAGCAACATAGTCCTGCATGCAATTCAAGAGGAATCAGCTTTTATTTTTGTGATAGACATACCAAGAATAATGTCGTTTTACATTTTTATTTACAACAGAACCAACATAAAAAATGTGACAATAATTAAAAAAAAAAAAATTATTGAATGACATACCGTCCAGAATACTGTTGTAGGTGTATCACTGAATGCAACTCTTGCTAACCCAAAATCACATATCTTTAGTTTACAGTTTGCATTTGCCAATATATTTTTTGGCTTTAAATCACGATGGTAAACATTTGCTGCAAAATGCAGGATAAAATCAGAAATGAAATGTTTCACAAACAGTATGAACATCAAGATACATGGACAAGGGATTGGAAGAAGAAAAAGAAAAGGACAAAAAGGAATGAGAGAGGAAAAAAAAAATAGCATCCAGACTCCTATATTGCATCAATGGTTTATAATAGAGTGGAACTCAAAGGATTGATTGGCTGAAAGCAGAATGCAATGGATGTTAATTTAGTCAGACCAAACAAACAAATTTACGAGAAGAAGAATTCCAAAACATATGGGTACAGTTAAAAGGTTCACGAGTAGCTGATAAAGGCAACAATACCAATATGATGAACCTTACCAGTGTGAATATACTTCAACGCACGAAGTAGCTGGTAAAGGAAAAACTGATAGTGCTCTCGAGTCAAGTCATCATTGGCTTTGATAACTTGATGAAGATCCGATTCCATGAGCTCAAAAACAACATAAATATCTTTAAAGTCTCGACATGAAGGGGGCAGCATAATGTGCTTAATCTCAACAATATCAGGATGCCGAAGAAGTCTCAGAAGCTTTATCTCGCGGAGAATACGAGCAGCATCTGAGATGTGCTCAAAAATATTATGTATTTTCTTTATTGCAACTTTTTCACCAGTATGAGTGTCAATTGCAGAGCAAACAACGCCGTAACTACCTTTCCCAATAACCTCCTGAATTTTATATCTATTAGCATCACCATATTCAGAGAAAAATTCCATCTCCGTAGAACTCTGCAGCATACCAATACCAATGACAATTTAGAGTAAGACAAGAATCCAATCCTATTCTTGTGATAAAATTAATATGCACGTAAACAAGAACAATCAAACATGCCAATTCCCCATTTACAGAAATCTAACAAATCCCACATTCTCAGATCATACTTTTAGTGGCTAGATTTGAAAAATCAAAATAAAAAATTTAAACTTTTCAAATTATAAGATTAGAACGTTTACAATTAAAATCCAGAAAACAGATTTCAAACTTGTTAAGAATATAAAAGAGCAAACAGTTGGAAAAGTAGAATCTCTACCTTTGATAGAGAGAAATCTAAAAGAGTAGAATCTAAGGAGAAGGAGAAGCATATAATTCTGAAGGAATTCTCAATTACCAGAAGAAAAATGAAACCCACAAATGGAAAAACAAGATTTCGCATTAATTTTACAGTTATCTATCTACCGCAAAAGAAACGCACCAGATGAAAAAAATATCTATAGCAATCAAAACAGCTCCGAAACTAAAATAGTACAGTTCGGCGATTTCATCTCGCAAATTATAAATTTTTTTTGAAAAAAAATTAAACTTGAAATTGAAGAATGACATAATCACCTTTTTCCGGTGATCGTGCTGCATTTTCTTAGGCAAGTATATAGAATTTCAAAAAAGCTCGTCTGTAAATGGAACAGCAAATCGGCTTTGTTTACTAACGGAAAACTGATCAGGCGGGCGACGGCGAATCAAATCAATCCAGCGACGGAATCAGCCGCATTTGCCCCACCTACCCCTGCTCCGGATCAGAAGCCCACCGTCCCACCTTCTTCTCCAACATAGAATCCAAACCAAACCCAAATCCACCTTTACACCGACAATATCAATTACCATACAGAGCACACAATCTTTGACAATTCAGTATTAACAAATCTCTCATTCCTTGGCGTTGAAGACTTCTCCCACCACCAACACCTCACCAAACTCAATTGAAACCCCAGATTACGAAACCAAAACCAAAAGCAAAAACCAAAACCCAGTTCTTGGATCTTGAAACTGAAAAACGAAGCTGCAAAATGGGTTCACCGACACACGGGAAAAAGGAGAGAGAAAGTAAAGGAAAAATATGAGAGGCTTAAGGCATGAATCTAGAGATATATATGAGTTGGTATTATTATGTGTCCCTATCTGTAATAATTACGCGTATTCGTATTTGGCAAGGTGGTAGTACATGTAATTACGAGGGGTATCTGAGGGTGGAATGAAAAAGGAGGAGAATATAAAAAGAATACTTCATCAGGATTCCAGGAGGCTTCTGGTTTTCTTAAGGCAAAACGTCTGGTTAAGCCCCTGAACTGATTTTATATTCTCAATTGAGTTCCTGAACTTTTTCTATGAAGCAGATAAGTCACTAAACCCCACAATCTGTGCAATTTTACCTTCTTATTTCTCTTTTTTTACCTGCAACTTTGCAGTCCACCATTAAAGAGAAGCAAAATTGCATGGAATGTGGGGTGCAAGCTGGCAAAAACTTAATTTTAGTCCCTTACCTTATCAAACTTAAAGGTTTTAGTTTCTCACATTATACTATTGCATTTTTAATCCTTAATCTTATTAGATTTTTAGGTTTTAACCCCTCACCTTATATTATAACACTTTTAACCCTTAACCTTATTAGATTTTTAGGTTTTAACCCCTCACCTTATACATAACACTTTTAACCCCTCACCTATTAAAATTGAAGAAAATAGTTTTCATTTTGTAACATTTTATTAGTTCTGTTAGCTGACTGTTAACTCTATTAATTGATTGTTAATCGACTATTAATTGTCAAAAACTTTCTTTCAGCTAACAGAATTAACAAAATTAATTTTATAATATTTCATTAATTTTGTTAATTGGTTATTAGTTGACTATTAATTGATAAAAATTTACTTTTAACTAACATAGTTAACAGTAGTTATTTTTTTTAATTTTAATAAATAAAGGGTTAAAATTTATAAATCTAGTAAGATAAGGGGTTAAAAATATCATAATATAAGGTAAGGAGTTAAAATTTTCAAATTTGATAACATGAGGAGCTAAAAGTAGGTTTTTGCTGCAAGAGCTTCTTTACTTCGAAAAAGTCTAAGGACTCAATTCAGAATATTGAATCAGCTTAGGGGCTTAATGTGCGTTTGGCCTTGTCCCTAAAGAAGCCTTCTGTTGCTTTTTTCTTTCATTTTTTTTTTTTTTTCCTTCCGAAGAGAGCCTACTGTTTCCGTTAGGTGTAAGTACAGCTGTCACTTTTTTGCATTTCGTGGCATGTCTTGGACGCACGTGGCAAGCTGATATCTTGCCAGGATAGTATACGATAGCTACCCGTACCGGGGGTGGACCTTGACTGGGTGGAAGATTTATAATTTACACGTGACTTGCCTACATTGCTTAGGGGCTTGGTTATTGTCACATGAGATATCTCAGTGGTGGTCATTTTTTATTCAATCTAATCGATTTGATTTAAATTAGTTTAATTTAATAAAAAATTAATTTAAATTGATATAAAATTAAATTGGTTTGAATTTTAATATTTTAAAATCAACATAATTGGTTTGGTTTGTGATTTTATCTTCAAATTACTTGATTATAAAATAAAATTTGATTAGAAAATAATTTAATTAAATATTATAATATATTTTTGTAGTATTTAAATTTTTTTTTATTTTACAAGATAATAATTCCATTAACTTAATTAAAAAATAAAAATAGAACATCTCCATATTCCCTAAGTTATTTTTCCATTTTAATCATGCACTCTAATCTTAATTTTAAATTTCTAATTCACATATAACTCTATTCCCTCTTAACTGGTGTTTCCTCAAAAATCCTCAGCCGACCTTTACCACGTGAATTGGATGTTAGG